GAATCATCATGGACTATCGACACTATTTGGATGTGGTTTGGTGTGGAATGAGGATACAGATATATATTTATGGCTATTTAAAACATGGCTACAGTGCATGCACGGCTAAGCTCCCCATGGGATAATTACAAATCAAGACATGGCCATGCAAAATGTAATTGAGATCATGTTTCCAAATTCGAAACACGAATGATGTTTGTGGCATATATTAAAGAAATTACCAGAAAAGTTTGGGTACCATGTGGACAAGGCTACTATATTTCAATTTATATACGAATTGGTTTATGATTCTCAATTTGTTGAACAGTTTAAAGATGGGTGGAGGGCTATGATCGATATGTATGCATTGCATGACAATGATTGGCTAGCGGGACTATACAAGAATAGATGTCGTTGGGTTTCTTGCTATTTTAAAACCACGTTATGAGCAAGGATGTCAACAACCAATAAAGTGAGAGTATGAATGCATTTTTCGATGGATATGTACATTCGAAGACATCATTAAAGCAATTCGTTGAACAATATGAAAGAGTATTGAGAAATAAAGTCGAGAAGGAGTTTCAAGCAGATTTCAAGTCTTACTCGCAAATGGTACCATGTGCAACACGGTATGAAATTGAGAAGCGATTTTAAGCGGTTACACCATTTCGAAATTTAGAGAAGTTCAAGAGGAATTCACTGGAAAGATGTATTTCGACCTCGTATCTACTTTTGTGGGATGTTCGGGAACGAGGTATGAGGTGCTAGAGGATGTCATCTACGAATCAAGTTTGAAGAAAAAGATGTTCTTCGTCTCTTTCCAGCCAAAAAAGTGTGAAACTACTTGTGGTTGCCATTTATTCGAGTTTCAAGGAATACTATGTAGGCATGCAATCACAATGTTAATCCGTCACGATGCCAAAGTATTGCTAACAAATATATCCTACGCAGATGGAAGAGAGATGTGAGTAGAGCTCACAAGAGAGTTGCTGTGACCTACGACAGATTGGTTAGTACTCCAGGACAGTTGATGTATGATAAATTGTGATTGGCTCGATCATAAGATGGTGGTTTTGTTAGTCCAAATATGGGTAAAGCAGTGAAGGGCATTCAGATGGGAAGGAAGATAGTGTGGATTAGTTTATCTTTCTTGCATTTCTTTGATTATTTTGCTAATTATTCATGTGAAGTTGGTAGAATGGGACGACAAAGAAGAAGGCAAGGAAGTGACTCGGCAATGGGAAGATGATTCGGATGATAACGATGTCATATGACTTTCTATTGCAACTTTAATTCCAGCTACTGAACTTCATTATGAAACTGTGAAGTTAGTTGCTATGTTTTGTTATTACTGTATTGAATTCTTATAATCAGGAACAAAAATTTGACCACTTCCTCCCACGTCCAAGATGCTGGAAATTTGTGACATTTTTAGAATATTAATTGTAGAGATGGTGAATTTGTGGTAAAATAAAGCATTAAGATTTTTCTATGTGTATCGCATAAAATTACTTTAATATGACTATAATGTTATTTAGATGATTCTGTGGTCTGAACACATTACATTCAGGTCAGTAGTCATGGTTCCAGATTCAAGTTGTTTTGGAGATGCAATTCATGGTAATTTATTCGGATATGCACTGTATTGATTTTCAAATTACAAGTATAGTTAAGACTGCAAATTGAGCATGCATTAATTATCCATATCTATATAAAAAAATCTCAATGTTTTAGTTGGCCATTAGTAAAAACGAATCCCTCATGTTTAGGCAGTGAAAGTTTCTATGTTTAACAACAAGCTGATACCCTTTACATTCAAACGCTCATTCAAAATTAAGTATTTCCCTTACAAAATATATGAAATATTGACGGTGAAATTAAACCTATAGATGTGCAAACAAGAAGAAAATCGCGAATTTTACACATAAAAGAATCCAGCTTCTCCGCAATTCAAAAATTCCATAAAATTACTACACAGATTTCACATTACATTAACCACATAGTAGGCATCAAAATGAAGTCCCCACATCAGTTAAATAGCACTGCACAAATTTCACACTACGTTAACCACTTAGTAGGCATCGAAATGATGTTACATCAACAACTACAAATTAGAGCAGCCACGTTCATTTCTTATCCCTTTTCACAATCGCTTGTCCTTTGCGTATTGTCACATTTACAGAAATCTCCATATCTTTTTCATGAGTTAGCTGACACATGGTTTCAAACATGCTAGAGACATCTTGAACTAATTCAGGCGCCAGAAGGTTAGTGGAGGTAATGCCAACGACACTTGATTCATTGCTCGTTTCACCCTCTTTAACACATTCCCAATATCCGCAGTTCGCAGTGCAACAATTGAACAATTTACCTCTGTTCTTACTATCCTTCTCCACTTGAAAACACTTCACAAATACATGTTTACGCCACAGCCATGGACATTTATTTGGGCAATTCGCAAAGAAGTGATCATTACATCTACAACTATGACATATTCCATGATTTTTTTCTGGCCATAGTAAGCTACAATTCAACCACATAGACAGAATATCAATATGACATAATAAATAATTCAATTGAATGTTTGCAAAATTTCAATAACTTAATGTTTGAGCAAGTGAAATGGAAATTAACTACTTCATAATAGGTACATATATATAAGAAATAAGGGTAATTAGCACAAAACGTCCCTACCTTTCAAGTATATTGTGGAAAACGTCCCTACCTTTCATTTTTTGGCATTTTTGCCCTCATTTCAACATTTCTTTGCGCTGAACGTCCTTCCGTCCATATTCCGTCAATTTTTCCGTTAATTAAAGGGTAATTGGCACAAAACGTCCCTACCTTTTAAGTCTATTGTGGAAAACATCCCTACCTTTCATTTTTTTGGCATTTTTGCCCTCATTTTGGGCCGGACGTCCTTCCGTCCATATTCCTTCAGTTTTTTCGTTAATTAAATACAAAAATACCTTTTTCTTTCCATAAATAAGGGTAAAATTGTCCTCACCCACTTCACCCCTTTTTCTCGCCATCAACTTAGTCCATAAGTAACAGTGGCAGCAACATGAATTTGAAAATACTTTAAATGATTAAGTTAAATAAAGAAAAAATATCGTGAACACATTATATTTCACAATTCCACAACTACTGTTGCTGTCATCTTGTGTCACTGAAAAAATTTAGAAAGACATATTAAATGGGTAGTCAATTTATAATGAGTCAATTTAAAATGAGCCATTCATCTTCTCCATTGAGCCAAAAAGAGCCATTCACCATTTTGGCTCATTATAAATTGACTACCTATTTAATATGTTTTTCTAAAATTTTCCAGTGACACAAGATGACAGCAACAGTAGTTGTGAAATTGTGAAATATAATGTGTTCACGATATTTTTTCTTTATTTAACTTAATCATTTAAAGTATTTTCAAATTCATGTTGCTGCCACTGTTACTTATGGACTAAGTTGATGACGGGAAAAAGGGGTGAAGTGGGTGAGGACAATTTTACCCTTGTTTATGAAAAAAAGAAGAAGGTATTTTTGTATTTAATTAACGGAAAAACTGACGGAATATAGATGGAAGGGCGTCCAGCGCAAAGAAATGTTGAAATGAGGGCAAAAATGCCAAAAAATAAAAGGTAGGGACATTTTTCACAATAGACTTGAAAGGTAGGGACGTTTTGTGCCAATTATCCTTTAATTAACGGAAAAACTGACGAAATATGGACGGAAGGACGTCCAGCGCAAAGAAAGGTTGAAATGAGGGCAAAAATGCCAAAAAATGAAAGGTAGGGACGTTTTCCACAATAGACTTGAAAGGTAAGGACGTTTTGTGCCAATTACCCTAAGAAATAAACTAAAACTGACAAAATATGGACGGAAGGACGTCCAGCGCAAAGAAAGGTTGAAATGAGGGCAAAAATGCCAAAAAATGAAAGGTAGGGACGTTTTCCACAATAGACTTGAAAGGTAAGGACGTTTTGTGCCAATTACCCTAACGATATTTTTTCTTTATTTAGTTTAATCATTTAAAGTATTTTCAGATTCATGTCGCTGCTACTGTTACTTATGGACTAAGTTGATGGCGGGAAAAAGGGGTGAAGTGGGTGAGGACAATTTTACCCTTGTTTATGAAAAAAAGAAGAAGGTATTTTTGTATTTAATTAACGGAAAAACTGACGGAATATAGATGGAAGGGCGTCCAGCGCAAAGAAATGTTGAAATGAGGGCAAAAATGCCAAAAAATAAAAGGTAGGGACATTTTTCACAATAGACTTGAAAGGTAGGGACGTTTTGTGCCAATTATCCTTTAATTAACGGAAAAACTGACGAAATATGGACGGAAGGACGTCCAGCGCAAAGAAAGGTTGAAATGAGGGCAAAAATGCCAAAAAATGAAAGGTAGGGACGTTTTCCACAATAGACTTGAAAGGTAAGGACGTTTTGTGCCAATTACCCTAAGAAATAAACTAAGGAACGATAGCATGGCACTTGAATTGTATAACTCCAAATAATTATCAAATTTCAAATAAAACGACTAATACTAGTAACAAACACCAACCACTGTCACACACCCATGGACATCCTTAACCACTCATCTCTCTTGAAAAAATGCGTGCAACTTCATGCCAATCTCACACTCGTCAGTAGCTTCATGCCAAATACACAGAAAAAATGAGTTCATAAATATATGTAAGAATATGCTACTCTTGTTAAATGTGGCATTAATTTGTAATCTTAGGCTACTCTTGTTAAATGTGGCATTAATTTGTAATCTTAGGAAATAAATAAGGTTACATGCACTTGAAGAAAATGTATCAAGAAAATACATGATGCACTTGAAGAAAATGTATCAGAAAAATACATGATGCAAATTCATGAATTATTAGGTGTCCATTTATATTCCCATGTCTCTAGAGTTATCCATGCGATCTTATAAATAGAGGTCATTCTTGTAGTCTCATTGTAAGGAAAAAAAAAAGAAGAAAACATTATTGAGTGTGCTGTAGCAACTCAAAAACTATCAATAAAAATTCAAGTTTTTTTTCAACACTTCGTTTCCGCACTAACAACTCTTGTCCTATTTCTTCCTTGTTGAAGTTGACTCCACCATTTTTGCTGATCTTGTAGGCAATCATATGGTCATAGAAAATGATTTGCAAAATACATGTTCTTAGTAAAGCAAGTTTTGGGAACTCTAAACTTCTGATACATTGCACAGCACGAAAGAAGCAATGATTTTTCATCTTTGCTTAAAATATTTCATAACAGGGCTTGAAACGAATAAAATGTAATGGTAATGGTCTTATATATCCAATCCCATATACATTACGAATAAGACTGTTATTATTGCTTAAATATTTGCAAGTGATGCAAATAAATAGTCTTAACTCCAAATTCATACATATTGATTAAACAGAAGCTCAAATAAGGGTTCTAAAAACAAATTCCAAAGCACACTTGGAAATTATTTTGTAGTGTGCAAGCTACAGATTTGTTAAAATGACTTATCAAATATTTTTTAATCGTAGATACCAAAGGTTCTAACTTCATACCATTTCTTAATCATACTCACCAACATGTTTGCTACAGATTTCGCTTCAAGTGATGGTGCTTGCGGTTGCCAATGCAAAAAAAAATGATCAACTGTTTGCGAAATGAAAACCCAAATAACTAGATTAGATGTATACTGTCAGGGTCGTTGCGTTGTCTGACGGATTTGGAGAAGACGGATGATGTTGGGGCGGAGAGAATATGGTTTTTGTTGACTGTAGGGTTCATCCAATTTGGGGATAAAATGCTGGATTCGGGCCAGAAAGAAATCCTCCATTTTGTTCCCTTCCAGTTCCAGACTTCAGTTTTCAGCTTCCCCCAATTCTCAAATCCTGCGAAGTGTAAGCGAACCCGTGGGTGCGACAACGATGCGATTCCTTCATTCCAATCTCCGGACTACGATTCACCATATTTTGAAAGAGGAAGAAGAAGATTGAAGAAGCAAAATTAGATAATTAATCTCTCTTTCTTAATCTTAAGTTCTAACATTGAAAGAGGAAGAAGAAGAAGAACAGATACAGATTTAAGCTACCCGGTATTTGTATTAAATCCTAAAAATATGCATGTTTTAATCCCACACTTGTCATATGTGTAGTTTAATCAGGTCAGTGAGAGTTCCAATTTCGTTCAATCGTCCTTTAGACCAGTGAAGACAGATGATTCACCATTAGATCCATTCCTTGTATTTGTAAATGCCTAGACTATACGCTTTGTCTGCTATGAGCCAAGATGACGAGTATGCTTTAGAGTGGCGGACTTAAGACTTCGCCTTCTATTTATTTGGGTTTATTCTTTGTTTAATGAAATTGAGTAGCTCATTGGAACGAGTTTGACGGATAGCGTCTGATTATACCAATTTGAACTTGATTTGGAATTAAGGCATAATGGAGTACTACCTACCCAGCTGCCCTCTTTGTTGCAATTCATCTTTTAACTTTGCTATTTGCAATCTCAATTCTTGATGTTCATCTTTTAGCTTTTCATTTCACTGTTGGTATATTTTATATTTATGCAAGCTTTGGTTAATTTGTAGAAAGATATGTTGAGATATTTTAAACGAAGTGTGTAATTAGATTGGAGACCAATGGATGGATGAATGATAGCTCAGTTGTGTATGTTCAAAAAAATGTATTTAATGATATTGATGACAAGACTATTAGACGGCATTTTCAAAGTATGAGAATCCGTAAGGAACAATTGTAAAAAAGTACTACGTTTTGAATATTATCATTTATTTTCTAATTTAAATTTTTTTAAAGTAATTTTGTCTCGTCTCCATTGAATCAAATCCTGGGTCCACCCCTGTTTGAGAATAACTAAAAAAAGGAGTTTTACTTATTAAATGTATAATTGATGGTGTTATCTTGTATGGGTAAAATAATATAATGATACGGGGAGCATATGGTGGATAAAATAAGTTCCTTATTTTTTATTTGTTATTTCTCAAGTTTGAAGCTTTGGAGAGCCTTTCATCTCTTGTTAGCTCTTTGGATATTCGATTCAAGGGAGTGTAGCAGTCTAAATCCATACTAGGAGTATTCACTTTGCTTTTCTCCAATAGTTTTTTAGGAAATTTTGCATGTTTTCTAATACATGGTTTAGAAAGGAATTCCCAGTTATGTTTAACTGTGCTTGAGAGTGCATCACAAAATAATTTTACTGGCTGGCTTATCTGTAGCTGTGCTTGGGCATCACGGTCTAATTTTTTTGCTGAGAGTCTAATTTGATCTCAATTATTAAAGTATTTGAGTACTCTCTGAATGCCTAGCTTGGTTTAGTTATGTGATTTTGACTCATGCTAAGTGCTAAGAGTATAGTTCGGTCATTGATATATGTTTGTTTTAGGGGTGCTTCTGCTAAGAAACGTGCTGTGAAAGGAGGGGGCCGGCGCCAATAAAAAATGTGCGGGCCCCCTCCTTTGTGAGGGGGCTGTAGGTTGTACAGTCCTGACTAGGACTGTACAACCAGTTTTATCCTTTTGCTAATGCTTTCCTTTTGATGTATGCATACTAGTTTTAATATTTTATGTTATGGTATGGTATGGCCGCAATCTCGTTGTCTTTGGAGTAGACCTCTTGACTTAATTTATGACATCGATAAGCTCTCACCCGGAATACAGAATTGAGGAATGAAATCGTGATTGTAGGCACTTCAACAGAAATTCAGTTACTAGTAACAGTAATACTATTGTAGAGGAAATTACAAATATAAAATGGAAAAGGGATGTGATACCATGCATTCAAAAAGCCCTCTACGGACGAATGAAATGATAAAGGACAAATATATATGTACCGAATTTAGGTTACTGAATTGGTTACCTACTCTCACATGCACACAGGCCCCGCGTGCATTTAAAAAGTTCGGTGTGTGGGACCAGTCCTCTCTTTGTGATTGTAGGTAAAAAATTCGATAAAAAAGTTGATATACATCTAGCATGATCCAATAATAAACTTCCCGTCTCCCTTTATCCATAGTGAGCTTGCGCCACACTTATTCAAAAAATTTCCCTCCAACTTCCTCCCTTTATTAACTGACAAATTGTTGAAACAATTCAACATTCTTACAAATTCAACTCAATTAAATCTCAGGCAGCCATGCCCCCGTGATACTCCGTTTTGAACATAACGCATGCCCCCGTGATACTCCGTTTTGAACATAACGCTTTTGTTATTTTCAATTTAATTTAAAAAATATAACTTTTAAAAAATAAATAAAATTCATTTGGTTGGTAAATATTGAATACATATATGATAAAAGTTGATGAAAACACAAAATATATAGTTATTTAATTTGTCCCGGTTTGTCTCCCTTTATTGAATAATTTTCATGAAAAGATGACAATTTCCGTGAAAAATGGTGACTGTCAAACATCGAAAGTTGGAAAAAAAATGATCATTTTTATGAAAAATAATGACTATTAAATATCAAATGATAGAAAAGTACAATATTTTCTAAGTGAAAAATTAAGTCAATCAAACGTATTTAATCGACAATTTCTAAGCAAATAATTTCTAGGTAATTCAATTGCCCAGATTTCATACAAATTTGGTACTTGCAATAAAATGCACCATAATTGTATTTGTGGCTATAAATTGATGTGTTTAGTTAAGTTCTGTTCAAATTCCCATAAAGATATCATGAGTTGACATGAATATAGGATTCAATATTTGAATTCGTTAGAGCTAAATTGATAATTAGTGAATTCGACTGAATACAACTTAAAAAATTAAAGGGGATAGCAAGGATGAAATCACGATTCCTAGAACTCTTTCTGCATAAGTTAAGATTTAAAGTTGTTTATTGCACATTTTTTAATTGTTTTCTTATATTTAAAACATTTATGATAATTATTAAAATCAATATTCATTATCTTTATTCAAATAGAAGTTATGGATAATTTATCAAATAGTAACTTAGGTAGTTTCTTGTTGAAACAATAATTAAAACTTTTAAATTCACTTTATTATTTGTTACACTTACAATAGAAATCACATATTACGAAATAACACTCTTTAAAGATAAGTACATATAACATAGTCATGTACAAAGAAAGAAGTGAATTCAATCCAATAATGACAAACCTCAACTCATTCATATGCACCATGTTTGGTTAACCTTTCCTCGAATTTGAATTTCTCATTTTAAAAAGTCAATATTTCTAACATATCAACTAGAGAAAATGACATTTTTAAATGTCAACATATCAACTGTCAAGGCCAACTACACATGAGAAATGCCTTTATTACTGAGGTGAAAAATAAGGGTTAACCAGCACCCCCATCAAATTTATCTGAAAAATGAAAATCGAAATAATAGACAGTGAAAAGAGCCTTTATGAAACTCTTCAAAAATCAGGAGTAAAAAACTCCCAAAAATTGAGGAAAATAAAAACAGCAAAAAGGCCTGATATAATAATTATCTGATCACGTAATCTTATCAGCATAGTGCATCATCTTATGATCATACGCCATGCACATGCTATCACTGCAAAGTGAACCACGCCAAGACATCTCTAGCCACGCGCCTGCGTGTAACATTCACGCTCTCACATGGCACCACCGGCGATCGACACAGAGGGCAATTGAAGTTAAGATGGTGGAGCCAGCCGTCGAAGCACTCCTTATGGAAAACATGGAGGCACGCTAACTTGCGCACGCGGTCACCTTCTCCCAGACGGTTCAGGCACACCACACAATCCGAACTGGCCTCATCACCGGATTTATTTGTATGAGAGAAAACCCGGTTCAGATTTAATTGCTCCAGCATGACAACAAGATCGGCCAGGCCGAATTGATCAACTTCGTAAAGAGGGTGATCGAAATCAGAATGATTCGAGTCGAACCGGGGTGAGAGGAGGCGCAAGATAGTGAAGAAAACGGAGTGGAGATACCTTACGCTTTTTCCGATGAGGACAACCATAAATATAAGGGTTGATTCCGATGACATATCGGAGAGCTGACTTTGTAAACCCATTTGTTTTGTTGTGACAAAATAAATTTCACGCAAGGAATTGCTGTTT